CTTTTACATTATCTATTATGTCCACCCTTTTGATTTGATTTACTCTGTTCTGTTAGGTCACATTTGGTTCTACTCCCTTCCAAAAAAGTAATGAGAACTGTAGGAGCAACAAGACCCAAAATGTGTAATTGTCATTGTACAAAAGAAAGGAAAAGAAAGTGCTCTAAATGATATAACTGCATGTATATTTAAGTGTATAAGATAGAAAATGATATCACTGAGTTTTGTTGGATCATTGAACAGAACTGTTTGCGGTCTCGCTGTTGGAATGTCCACTTTACAAGCCTTAATTTTGTGACTTGAACAATTATTTCTAAGATGACAATATGTAATCCAGTGACTAGTGATTTCCTACTGTTAATTTTTTTCTGTAAATCTGTATAACTTGTACCCTTTCTCTGCTTTTTTTCTCCTTAAATAAAATTTAAAAAATATGTAAAATTAAATTGATAACCATAAGCCAAGGTGTTGCGGCACATACTTATAGTCTCAGCCCTCGGGAGGCTGAGGCAAGATGATTGCTGTGAGTTTGAGGCCAGCCTGGGCTCCCAAGTGAGTTCAAGGCCAGCCTGAACTATGTAGTGAAATTATCTCAAAAAGACTAAATAAATAAGTAAATAAATAAATAAATAATTTGATAACAAAAATTTGAAGTGACACATAAACATATCAAAACAACTTAGAGGAGAGCTTTTGAATATACAAGAACATTATGATTAAAATTTGGGGCCAAGAATTTAGCTCAGCAGTATAAGCACCTGTCTGGCAAACAGACAGTTATGAGTTTGATCCTTGATACTAAAACTATAAAAATTTATTTCAATGTATAAGTGTGTGTGTGTGTGTGTGTGTGTGTGTGTGTAAGAAAGAGGGAGAAGAAGCAGGAGATAAAGAGGAATAACGTGCCTTTGTCCTTAAGTAAGGAAATACATATTATTTTTTTAAAAATGGTATTTGCTTACCTTGCTACACAATAAATGCCATAGTGAAATTAATTTGATATAGTACTATAGCCTATCGATTTTAGGTAAGTTTTTCAACTGTTAGAGTTTTTTGTTACAAGGGAAAAAAAAAAGATCACACATTGCATTTAGATGTCTTATATCATTCATGTCCTATAAAATGGGATAATTCCTCAGTATTTTTTGTGTTTTAAAACCTTAATGTTTTTCTTTTTCTTTTGAAGAGAATAAAATCAAATGAAATAAAACAGAATAGAGTTAATCAAAACAAAACAACAATGAATGGTACACGACTTTAAAATAAGATAAAAGGAAACCAATAATGGCTACCACAATGGCTCTTGTTATTTTCAGAATAACTGCCCATACCATGTGGAATAATAAAATCGAACAATGTTGGTATTTTCAAACACGAGGTGCATCAGCCATGGTGGCTTATGCTCATGATCCCAGAACCCTGAGGGGCCGATGCAGGGGGGTCACAAGCTGGAGGCCAACCCAGCCAAGTCAGCAATTTAATACACTGTGTCTTAAAATTTTAAAAAAGGGGTAAGAGATGTAGTTCAGTTTACGAGATACAGAATTAGGCTGAACTTCTGGTTAACCTACAGGTGCATGGTTTATATAAGAATTATATAATAATTGCTTATTATAATAAACTACTTAATTTGGGGGAATTTTGTTAGACAGCAATAATTACTGGGTATAGCCCATTCGAATATACTTATTCATACTTACATAATACACCGTGGTGCTTGGAAAGGGATTGCCTTTCATCATTTTTGCTACTGAGCATTTTATTCATTTCTTATCGATTTGTTGGAGTTCTTTCTATATTCAGAGTTGCCTTTGTACTTTGAAAACAATCACAAAGAAAGGGAACTCATACATACCAGTCGTTTGCCATTTATTTTTAGGTTAACTTATTGTTGTAACAAAATTAATAAAATTTTTAGTTATTCTTCTGATCACTTTGCATAAATCTCTGAAATAATCATAGAAATTTCAGTGTTGAAAGACAAAGTGGGAGATCTCCTGTTTGTGAACGTTCATGTTTTCTTATTCTCTTTGACAGTTTAAGATAAGGTCTGGATTCTTTTTCCAGAATGAAAATGGACAGCAAGTACACAATATCAGGGGGTTCAGGAAATCCCCAAAGTCCACATGTGTGCCACAAATTCAGACTCTTTGATGGTAGAGCTATCCATGTCATTATTGTTAATATTTAATATGTGGAGTCAATGTAATAAGAAAGTGAGATTAAACTTAGTCTGTTTGAACAAGAAAAATCTTATAGGAGAGCCTGAATTTGAACCCAATAAATAGACTACTGATTTTTGAACTGCTTGAGCTAGACTCTTCTTTATGTCTGAATTAAATATAATTCCCTTCTACCTGTACTGCACTTCAAGTGTTGTTTTAAGGCTCATTTTAATTCCCTTAGTAAAAAAGCACGTCCTGAAAATCAAGTGATTCTTTGCTCTCTTCAGGACACTCCAATATTTCCTCCTGATGATTTCCTGGGCAGCAATTTTACGAACACTGAGATTATTGCAAATATTCACGTGAGTGAAAGCTTATATATAAAATTGCCTGAAGTATTCTTTATGGCTAGAAGAACAGATCCAGTGAAGACCTGGAACTGTCCAAATAGAATTTAGTCGCTTTTGTTTTTATGGTCAAGACTGATGTAATACAACATCAAAGTTCTGATCTTTAAATAAAATATTTTACTTTCTGATTATTGGAAATATTGCCCTTGATTTTTATGATTGATTTTTATGTCTTTTTCACATTTTGATATGTTGTGGTAAAGGAGAGAGACTATAAAATTAGAAGTTTTGTTTTTAGAATAGGAATGGAAATCTATAGATAATTATGCTTGAGGCCACAGTGGTCTCAGTATTGTACTCACATGGGAAAGTTTAGGTCCTTGTGTGTCCTTGCCTATTTGGTGGACACAGCTTGGACTATGTGGGGGACACTGGGCAAACCTCTAAAGACAGAGGAACAAGATTGGATACATTTTCATATTCCAGTTCAGAAGCTATAATGTTTGCAACTTGTCTTCTGTTTTGGTCCAAAGAAAACATTACATTTAACCCATACAGTGCTGGGTTTCAAAATTTACTGTTAGTTACCAATTTATTTTACAATAAACAAGCATTCTTTTTTCTACTAGAAATAATTACTTATTTTAAAAGCTCCAGTTTGCAGTGACACTGAGCTCACATTACAAATGTCAGCTGTCATCTGGACAGTGCATCCCTTTAGGGGTCCAGGCTTCACCTGCCTCCGTCTGGCTCTGGTATTCATTTCATTTGCTAGGACCAAGTACTTGAGCTTGAGATATGCAGCCATGTTGACAAAAATGTAACCACGTCAGTAACTGAAGTGCTTGGAAATGGTTACAGTAGGTGGATTTGTATGAAAGTAGGAGGAAATAGTATGTGTTGGAGTATTTCTGGGAATCTTTTTATTAACATCTTATTTATTTATTTATGAACTTGATTTGCTGGTCTTCCAACAGTGCCCTGAGAACGAAGACTAACAGCAAACTGTGAACCTGGTGGCAGATGATTTCAGCACCTGCCCTGCTGTATTATGGATCTGCAGTTCACTCACCTTCTCGTGGGTACTGACCACATGGACTGGACACTCGTTCATAGCCAGGTCGAGTGGGTTATCACAGACAATGGCTTCAGTGCCTCTCTTCTCTTTGTACACGTCTCTGCCTAATTCCCACAGCTATTCCCCTTGTTGGGTTAGGGGTGCTGTTCCAGTAATGGCAATGATTTTGGCTGTTGCTGCTACCTAGATATCTACCACTTTTCATGGGGGGGAGCTCTTCAGATCTAAAATACCAATGCTACTGAAAATAATGGAGCCCTCATAGCTTTATTTTGACATGTTTGAAAGCACATGCCCATCGAAGTATGTCATATAGACGTGAATGTTTATGTTACTTTTGAGGTAGGTCCTGACTGACAGTTTGGAAAGCAAAATGAACTAGGAAAGAGAGAAGGGGAACAGGTGGAATCATTAAAGACTGCATGGAGCTCTAGGGTGTTATGGGTCATCTTGGGCAAGACAACCACACAGGGCATCTGGGTACTAGGTCTGGGAAGATGGAGTATATAGTTCACTATGAAATGTCACTTGATTAAACTGTGTTTATTCACATTCAACCAAATGATCACTTTCATATGGGAGAGAAATAAAGTTGCAAACAAAGTGCTTGTCACCAAGTTCCATATGTATTTGTGTTTCCAAAACCCCAAGCAGTCACCAATGGCACCTCAATCTCAGAAGCATTATTTAAATGACCCAATTTTTATAACTATTAAATATAGTATTGATTCTCCTCTGCCTAAAATATAAAAGGCCCAGGGAATAAAGAAATCTTATTTTGTTTTGACATTAACTGGCTTAATATAAGCAAAATGAAGTGAATATCAGAGGTAATGAATTAAGCAGTTTACATTTATTTCTATTAAAGTGGAAAGCATTACCTGGGAAGCCAGCATGCCCTAAATTAACCACACTCATAAAAAAATTATTACATTATTATTTGATTCTCGATTTCACCACGTCTGGTCTAAAAGCCAGGCTTTTTAGAAACAATACATACACTTCCACTTTGACTGTGATTTATTTCTCCTCTGTTTATATAATCATTAAAAGAAAACAACACATAGCCAAAGAAAGAACAGTACTTAATTTCCTGCACATGTAGGGGTTAATTTAAAAAATTAATAGCTTTGCAGGGATCAGCTCTAGATTTGAATATAACATGTCCATTGATTATTAGTACTTTGGAAAAAATGATGTGTTCCATGCTAATTTGAATTTATGAAAGTGACTTAATTAGCAAAGTTGCAGCTAAAATGCTTTCTAGGTAATCCAGAAGGCCAAAGGGCAAAAAACTGTACAGTTTTCACTGCTCAGAAAAAGTAAAGAAAAATACAAATGTACAACTTTACTGGTTGTAACATCCCTAAATATAATGACAGATAAAATTTTTTAGTGAAATGGAAGAGAGGGGGAGAGAGAGAGAGAGAGAGAGAGAGAGAGAGAGAGAGAGAGAGAGAAGAGAAGAGAAGAGAAGAGAAGAGAAGAGAAAGAGAAAGAGAAAGAGAAAGAGAAAGAGAAAGAGAAAGAGAAAGAGAGAAAGAGAAAGAAAATAGAGGAAAAGAAAGAGAAAAGGCATGTCTGCTGTTCCATGTCGGCTCTTCCAAACAAAACAAAGCAGCAAAACCTAGGACAAGAGCTTATGAGCTGCTGTCCTGCATAACCTGGAAACAGGTCTTGGGTGTAACTTCCTGGAGCAGCTCTTCCGGGCAAATGGAGAAGATGAACTGTGACATGAACTGTGACATCCCTGTCACAGTGCCATCCTAGGTGAGCTATTCTAAGAGGGCTTTGCAAAATTGCTCCAAACAGAATCGAAGGGTGCAGGCCCTTGGGCTCTAATACTGACCAGTCACTGGATCATAACTGGCCCTAGAAAAGCGCTGTAAACTTGAATGATGTCGCCCCTTCAGCCAAAACAATTCTCAGAAAAAGCCTGTAACAAGCAGTGTGTCCAGTGTGGGGGACAATGATGCTTTCCTCTGGGAGGAGGCTGTGAGGGCAGGCGCCACAGCACTCACAGCAGCTGGCACAAAGGGGCTATTTTGGGAAATAACCTCAGAGATGGTTGGTGATTATGAACAATGAAACACATGGGAGTAGGGAGCCGGTCTAAGGAGACTCCAGGACAGTCTGCACACCCTAGAATGTACAGAAACGTCCCTATCAGGTAGTGAAGTGAGATTACACTGACTGTCTCATTTCCTGGAGAAAAGGACTCTTGGGGCTGTTAACTCCGTACTTTGAATTTGTGCTTCTTCTAGAACAGCCAAGCAGACTCTTGCAGGGCTATGCTGTGGAATGGCTGTGACCAGCAGGGAGCTTCCTTGTGTGACAGAATGGAGGTGCCACTGGCTGTGCCCATGGCTGCTGGCTGTCGGGCAGGAATCTGAGGAAAGCAGGGAGCTGAGATGGTGCAGGGCAGAGTAAAACCTGGTAGCTTTGTCACTTCGTGCTGCAGACTACCAAAGACTGTTAGTCTTTCTTGCTTATTTGGCAAACTCATAACTTGGAATCAATATCTATTAGTTTTTACAACACATTTTACATTTACATATTGCATTTTACAACACATTTTACCACTAGCAGTAATCTGTCAAATTTGAGCAAGAAGGATAAAAATCTTTGAACCTGTAATCTAACACCCCAAACTACTTTTTCCTTTAAATCAAAAGATTTATGGTACTGAGTATTAAAGTTTTTATGTTGCTCTTCATAATAAAGGGTGTGGTAGTAGGTCTCCCTCATTTATTCAGCATCTTTAGGGAAGTACCCAGCAAATATGTAAATTTTTCAAGCCAACAAGTTTTATAGGCTTTTAAAAATGGATGGCACATTATAGAGCATCCAATGAAATTACTTTAATGACAGTTGAATAAATCGATGTCAAGAGTATAAGTCTCCTTGTCATTGGAATGCGTACAGGGAGGGAACAAAGAGCTTATGAGTGCAGTTCACCATTCTTTCCACTGAACACTCGTTTCCTCCTTTACTACATTTCCCCCATTTTAAAGCCAAATCATGATTAAGCACATTCCCTATTTCTCAGACTCTCCCAGCAGAATATACCGAACATAGTAAGTCAGCCAGGTGAGATATTATTTTATTTGCAAGAGAATGAACTGAGCATGCATCAGTTTTCTTTATCTAAAATAAGTAATAGAAACAAAGCAAACACAAAACTTCACTCAAAAGCACAAGCATGAAGTCTTTAGGGGTTTCTGACCTATGCGCAAACTCTGAGGGATGAGGAATGAGTAGGATCAGAGTGGATGTCAACAGCAAAGAATGTATAAAGGACAATCACAGGTGAGGGGATGCTCTCAGGGCACAGGCCAGCCTGGAGTTTCAGGGCAGAGAGAAGGGGAAGCTAGGAATGCCCTCTAGGGAAGTGATTGGTTAGGGTCCCACCCTCGCCCAGTGGGCTGTGCAGGAGTGCCACCTCTGGGAAACAACAGTTCTCAGGGCAGAGGGCAGGGCAGGCTCTTGGGCAGAAGAAATTGTCATCTGGTGAAAGGAGAGAGAGAGCAGCTTTCTGATCTGCCTATACCTGTGAATTGAGAAACAGTTTTTACTTTCTCTGAAGAATGTGTAACCCTGAAAACTGTTCTTCTTATGCTTGGAATTTATACTGAGACCTGATTAAAATATATGGTGAAGGTTTAAATAAAAAAATTATTGCACTAAAAGTAAAATTATTACACCGTATCATTAACCTCCCTCAAAACAGCTCCCCTTGTGCTGAACATATCTCAACATTTCTGTCCCTTTCTCAAGCAGTTTTGGAAGCCATTTTCACAATTGTGTTTACAAGGTGTGGTCAGAAATACAGTGAAGGCTGCTGCTGAGCACTTTCCAATAAAAAGCAGGCTCATAAAAAAATCTAGGGTGCTTTCATCCACACTTTTCCCTGAATCTGATACAGTCTGACTTTGGCTCTTTCCCAAAGTCAAAGTGACCATGAAAAGTAAGCATTTTGAATCTATTTAGGAGACTGAGGCAGGCACAACAGTGTAACTAAAGATACTTATGAAAAAGGCTTGTGGAACTGCTTTAGAAAGGGATGAGAACAGTGGTATAAATGTACTCGAAGTGACAAGGGTATTTTGAGGGATGGTCATGGGAATGTCTTTCACTATTTTAAAAAGAAACTTAAACATTCACATATTTCCTGTCATATCTTGTATATTACCTTTGTGGTGTAGAAAGTTATATGTCAAGGATTAAGTGTAAATATCCCCAGAACAATTGTTCCTGGGATGCCTGAGAAGGAAAAATAGAAGGTGAAAGTATCTTCAATTCAGCCTCCTTTAGGATCTCCCCAAATTCAGTTCTGCTGAGCATGCCTTACTGATCAAAATTACCAGACATTGTCAGTAAAACCAGGACCAAGTGAGATTATGCACTGGGATTGGAATTACAAGCTAGAGAACAAGAAAATAAAACAGTTCTGAAAAATCTTTAGTGAAACAGAGGAAGCAAAATATTAGCAAGAAATAAAATGTCAAGCCAGAAAGAGCATATTTAAAAATAGTAGAATTAGAGCTTTAAAAATAATCAGTAAAATTACAAAGTTAGTAGTCAGACAGAGAATTAGATGAAAGAAAATTAATAAACCAGAAAAGTAATTTTAAAGTGCTGAAAATATAGCATTGAGAGATGAGAAAGTGGAAAATATGTCAAAGAAGTTAAGAGATATGAAGAACAAGGAAACACAGTCTGCTAGACAACCACCAATATTTCAGAAAGGAAAGAGAAAGGAAACAAACCAGGAAAATGAAGAGGACAGAATAACTAAGGAAAGCAGGACTGAGAAGTTTAAAACACGAACGGATGATACGCAAACTCATTTCTAAGAGCAGAGACAATTCCAAAGAAGATATAGTTTTAAAAATCTAAATAGTTACAGCTACACCTTTGAAAAAGCAAAGACAAAGGTCTTAAACACAGATGAAGGGAAAATATAAACAGGATACAAAGAAATGATAATTAGACCAAAGCTCACTTCTTAAAAAGATAACGGAACCCAGAAACAAGTGTAACACCATCTACACAGGCCTCATAGAAAAGAGAGAAAATAAGTACAATTCTAAAATTATTTATCTGGATTAACATTCATTAAAAATAAAGACAAAATAAAGAAATTTCCAAAGGAACAAAAACTGAGGGCACTCAAACCACCCAGGCCCTCCCTGGGAGAGGCTCTAAAGGAACTTGAGAAAAATAACCAAAGTTCTACATACAACACAAGGCCTAGGGTACAAAAATATATGTTTTAAAAACTAACAAATGAGTTAAAAAGACAGTACCAATGCTTATTTAGGGGAGTGGATTAAATACAACTTAAAAGCTGGGAATAATGTTACATAGACTATGGCAGAGTGTTTGATGCCAAGTGTCCTAGGGGCCTCATCCGAGGGAAGAGTAGATGATGGGTCCATTTCGGAGTCTGTGTTTGTATTTTGGTTATCACCAGTGACATTCTCTGTCATTCCTGCCCACCTTTTCCTGTGCACCAGGGATTCTGGCCCTGAGCCTGCTTCATGGCCCGTGCCGCTTGGATTTCAGGTGGACGTTCACCACAGGCCCAGGAGGCGAAAGGAGACAGGATGTTCTTCTGGCTGCTTCCCAGCTGGCTCGGCTCAGGTTGGTTCCTTTTCCTAAGACAGCTTTGGTTGGAAGCTTTTAATGCTTTACAGCTATGGTTACAGCTACTGCTACTCTTTGTGGATTAAGAAGCCACTTTCCTCACTTAGCTCTTTCAAATCTAAGTATAATTATGGCCATTTATTGTTCTTACAAAACCCTGGTAAACTCTGACTATTCTTCAGTAAAAAATGTCTATATTAAAATATACTCATGTAAATCATTCATTTCCTACCAGTACTCCAGTTTATATAGCATGTTAATCTTATAGGTGATCTGCCCGTGATTCACTCAGCTGTGAGAACAAACTTCTACAGTGACATAATTCACAGCTTCCATAGTGTGTGAGCCACAATATTCAGCATCCAATTATAGTGAGCAAGCACACCCTAAGATGTACCCTAAGAACTTCGTTGTTTGGCAATTTGATCATACTGCAAATACCTCAGAGTTAATTAACATGAGCTAAGATAGCTGTGGCAAAGTACAGCATGCAATCTTATGGGAACACCATCATTTATATGATGGCCTACTCTTAGAAAAAACTAGGGAGCAAATGGATTTCTAAAAAAGAATGAAAATAGACTTCAACAAGAATTAGATTCCATAAAAGAAATTCAGTGAAATTTCTAGAATCGAGAAATTATCTTCAATAAGCAAGACACAGAGGACAACACTGGCAAACAGGAAGTGGGGCATCTTGAAAATATCTAAAAGGAAGCAGAAGGAGAAAGCAGAAGGGAGAGAATAAGACAGAACATGTAAAAAAGATGTGGGACGTTGACCGGAGCCGCGGGAGACAGGAGACCAAACTCGAGCAGGATCAGCTCTCAAACTTTATTGCGTACAGCGAACCGGACCTAACAAGGTCCCCACCCTCAACGTTGGTTCCTCTTCCGCCCGTTGGGGGCAGGAACAACCTCTTATAAGGGGAAGCAGTATCCAATCACAGAGAAGCGCGCCTAACAAGCTGATAGGCTAGCGTCACGGGTAACTGGGCAGATATGACAATTTGGCGGGCTTGTTCAGGCCGGGAAGAACCCGGAAGCAGGAAATGGGCGCCATTCATAGGCGGCTTCCCACATCTCCCCCTTTTTTATTTATTAAAATAGGATGGTCTGTGGGTCCCTCCAAGGTGTCTATGACCTTGTTGCTGTTAGACACCTAGGAGTGGGCCTACCTTGTAGGCCGAGGCATGAGAGAATGTAGAGGTCTATACCCTGCTGTGCATCACCCTGTTTTGTGCATATCCTTGCGCCAGGACCATGCTCAAGGTGAGTGGTTCATTTTTTCACAGGGCCAGGCTTTTGTGAACCGAACCTGGATGCATATAGACATTCATTCCTGCCTTCCCCCCAACCTTTGGGGCGGACGGCACTGCAGTACCCTTGGTCTCGCATCTCAATGCCAATAATTTGACTCCGGGAGGGACCCCTGGCCTTATAGGCCATGTATATCTGAGTGGAGCCTGTCTTAGGTTGACCGGGAGGACGTCTCCCGTCTTACCCGTCATTGGCTTGCCCACTCAGCATTTATAGCTGATGTTCTGCAATGTGAAGGAGATATGCGGCGGCCTGCTGGCCTGATGGGCCACCTGCTGCCATTTGCATGGCTGTCATAGCCGTGACCTTGACCTGTTGCTGGGTTTGCATCGGAGTTAAGCGGGTGGGTCATATTGGCTGCGGAGGATGTATTTTTCAGTGTCTGATTAAGTGTCATAAAGGGGCGGAGGTCTAAGCAAGCACCCAGCGCATTGCAAAGTTGATGCTGCGTGAAGAGGGAGGAAGTATGTTTAAGGGGATCAGGTTGAGGTTCATTACAATATCCCGTGGCCCCCCAAGCGGCCCCCACTGAACAATTCCGAAGGGTGATCAATAGGAACCCACAGAATAGAAAAAACTCCAAACCAGACATTTTAGTTTGTAGATGGTCTCGGGCGCTGAGCGTCGGTCCCAGAAGGGTCGAGTTGACTTGTGTCCGCGGGCTTATCCTCCTGTGCTTTATCAGGAACTGGTGGGGAGTTTACTGCTCGCGTCAATCTTTCCGGGACCCACAGCGGTTCGCGACCTGGTTCCTGTGGGAAGACACAAACCGCACCTCGGGTCCAGCTAATCACTGGATCCGGGCCCATCCATTGTCCTGTAAGGACATCTTTCCATCTAACCAGCCCTTTGTCGGTTGGGGACAGATTGCTATGTTCCATGGCAGGGGAATGATTATGGTAAAGAGTGCCAATGATATTCTTCCTTTGGGCGTTAGGCCATGGCCTATTCCCTCCTTTTGTTTTTGTAAGACACCCTTGAGTGTCCGATGTGCCCGTTCAATGATGCCTTGTCCTTGAGGGTTATATGGAATGCCATGCTTAAGGACAACATCCATTTGTTGACAGAATGTTACAAAAGTTTTGCTGGTGTAAGCAGGACCATTGTCTGTTTTTAATATATTGGGCTTTCCCCAAGCAGCCCAGGCTGCAAGACAATGATTAATAGCATGGGTGGCCCTTTCTCCAGGTTCTGCCGAAGCAAACATAACCTGAGAAGCGGTGTCAACCGAAACATGTACATATTTGAGTTTTCCGAATTCTGGGATGTGTGTAACATCCATTTGCCAAATATGATTGGGGCGCAGTCCTCTCGGGTTAACACCAATAGATTGTTGAGGTGAAGAGATCACACAGACCTGCCAATGCCTCTAAAAGCGCCATGGTAAATGGCGCATTGGGCCTATAAGCTGAAACTGCGTCCTTGATAGCTTTAAGTTGTTTAATTTCTAAGGGCTCATAATATCCTCCTCCTCCCCTGCCTCCTACTTGTACCGGGAATGCATGGAGACCGGAACACTCAAAGGGAAGCCGCGACCATACCCTCTGGTGGAAGGACCGTGAACTTGCCAAAGGGCGGAAGGGCTTAAGCTCCTCCCGTAAGGCGGAGTAGCTCGAGCAGGGTGGTGTTTGGTTCCCCTTTTTATCTTCCCGAGCCCTAAATTCCTCTTTTAACGGTGTAGGAGGGTCATGCTTAGCAAAGACGACCTCCTCTTCTGAACCTTCCGAATCCGAATCAGAATTAGAGCCCTGAGGGTCCTCCAGAGACCCACAATCAGCAGTGGCTCCGGGCTCCTCTGAGCACTCCGATCGAGCTCTATCAAAAGCCTGTCGGGCTGTATTAGAGAAGCGAAAGCAAAACAGATGCAAAGGGAAAAGAAAAGAAAAAAAAAAAACCGGCGTCCACTCGTGTGGTGCTCAAAATCTGTTAGGTGCGTCCACCCAACCCAGGTGACCCAGTACTCACCTGTCCCGGGAACCGCTGTATCTCACGTAGCTGATCAGGGTGAAGAGAAGAGGCGCTCGCGGCCTTCCGTTGTTATTGGGCCAGGTCCTCCGTCGTACCGCAGGCGACAGCAATCGCACCTCCCGGCCGAAGAGGCACGTCGCTGAGTCTTTTACCTTTTTTCCCGTCCGGGCCACCAGTTGACCGGAGCCGCAGGAGACAGGAGACCAAACTCGAGCAGGATCAGCTCTCAAACTTTATTGCGTACAGCGAACCGGACCTAACAAGGTCCGCCACCCTCAACGTTGGTTCCTCTTCCGCCCGTTGGGGGCAGGAACAACCTCTTATAAGGGGAAGCAGTATCCAATCACAGAGAAGCGCGCCTAACAAGCTGATAGGCTAGCGTCACGGGTAACTGGGCAGATATGACAATTTGGCGGGCTTGTTCAGGCCGGAAGAACCCGGAAGCAGGAAATGGGTGCCATTCATAGGCGGCTTCCCACAGGACGTGTTAAAGGTGTAACAGCTGTGTAGCTCAGAAGAGAAGAAGAAAAAAGACACGAGCAGCTTTAAAGATGAAATGGCTGTAAAATTTCCAAATCTGATGGGAATTCTGTGAAGACAGAAATAACAGAAAATGACAGGAAGAAGGATTGAAACAGCAAGTTACTACTATAGTCTTCTGTGTGACAGGTGCCCGATATCTCTTCAGTCAAGGCTGTCCAATGTACCCAGAGAAAGGAGCTAGGTTGTGGGAATATCTGTTCCAAAAGAGCGCCATGAATGCCTTGAATGAGAGTTTTTATGCTGAATTTTTCATATGTGTCAACAAGAGTGACACAAACTCTGTCTTTTCTTCCTTTTCGATGATCTTAAACTAAGCCAGTGGTCTTACAGTACCACTAAAATCTCAGTGACTCCTGGGTAGATTTGTCTGGTTCTATCACCTTCTGATGACAAATACATTCTATTTGCAACAGAATAAAGCACTTTCATTTGGATGTTGGAGAATAATCCAAAGCAACATTAGGGACACTTCAACCCTGAAGACGTCTTTCCCATTTAGTCCATGGCACCCTCATCTTCCCATTTATTAAGAAAAATGCAAAACTATTCTCGATGTCTTCCTTTCCTCAGTCTCCAAATTCATTCCATCAGCATTTTCATTATCTTCTAAATAATATCCAACTTTACTCATTTCTCCATTTCTATCACTATCACATAGTCAACATCGCTATCAGCTTTTCTCTGACCACTAAAATGTCTAATTAGCACCTTGGATTTACTCTTGTTCCCCACCCCAACTTTATTATAAAAATTCAGAAATATGAATACTATTTGTGGATAAATCAGATCATGCCACATCTGAGTTTAAAATTTCTAGGGACTTTTCTCTACTCTTAGGAAACTTTAACCTCTGAGATACTGTGTCACCTGGCCCTATTTTCTTTCTTTCTTTCTTTCTTTTTTTTTTTTTTTTATCGGTACCGGGGACTGAACTCACAACCGCCTGCTTGCAAGTCAGGTGCTTATGCCGCTGAGCTAAATTCCCAGCCCCCTGGCCCTAGTTTCTTTCCAGCTTGGTCATTTTTCCTCCTGAACAGTTCTGTTATTGCTGTTTTACATACTTGAAAGGACCAGGCTTCCAGGGTTTCCCCAAAGCTGGGTCCTGCTTTCTTTTAGATCTCTACTCAAATATGAAGACCTCAGAAAGTGTCTGTCTAGCAGTCACTCTGCACTGCACACTTCACTTTTTCTTGTGGTTGTGTATTTATCTTTGCATTCCCTTGTTTATTGCCTCTTCCTCATTAGTAGGTAAGGTTTACAAGGCAGAAGTTCTTTAATCTCCCAGTCCCTGAAACTGTGTCCATATGCAGAACGTGCACCATTGTTTTTGAAATAAATGAGAGACACATAAATACCATCCTCCATGTAAGTTGTGTTTCAAAACAGTAATTTAGGAGACTGAGCAAACGTTTGCTAGTTTACTCACAACTGTGTTATATACCATCTGCCTGCTTTGTATGTAAGGAACACATCTCCATATTTCACCATTTCTGACTTCTTCTGGGTTCAGCAAACAGAGGCACTGAAGAAGTTTGGGAGAGAGACAGCAGAAAAGGTCAGAATGTTCCTTCTCCAGTCTCTGCTTTGAATGGCATTTCCTCACTATGACTCTGGCTCCTCTGTAGCCTGAGACCTTACTAAGCAACCTTTCCTGTGGCTTTATCTCCTATGCTCCCAGATTCTGGCTGGCGTAACTGTTTTCTCCACAACTTTCCAGTCCCAGGACTGCCATAACTTCCTGCTGTTCTTTGGTCTCCTTTTCACCAAGTTTTCCCTTCAGCTCTTCTATCAGCTCTGTAATCAATTCCCTGGATTAAATGTTCTTTGTTTGAAATATCTAGGGTGGTAGCTGCTTTTATGACTAGACTCTGAATGATATAAATGCATATTTCCAAAATATTATGAAAACATATTAGGAATCCTCTTTCAAAGCACTATCACAACATGCATATGAATCATCTCGTCTTTGTGCTGTGTAATAAAGTATTACAGACTGGTAAAACTCTGGTCCCTCTCCTTCCAAGATGGTGGTTACTTGCTGTACACTTACATGGTAGAAAGCATAAGAACTAAAGAAAAAGGGCACCATCTAGTATTCTATGCATTTATAAGACATTTATTCGTGAGGGCAAGTGTCACGTAATGAAATCTTTTCCTCAATGGATCTACTTCTTAGAGGTTAATCCATCATGATAATATTAAGTCTCAATGTGAAATTTGGAGGGGTCCACTGAAACCACAGTATATCCCAAATCATAATCACAATAATTAGCTTAACTATATAAACCTTGAAGTGACTTTTGATTACCTCTAAGTACCAAAAAGACAGTCAAGGGGCACATATATTAGTCTATGTACAGTGAGTGCCCAGCTTAGAAGCATTTAAATTGCACATTTTAACAGATGGGAACGGACCTCACATTACAAACACTCTTAGATGCAACCAAACTGTGGAAGCAGCTTCCCTGTCTGCTGGGAGTTGTGCTGCTGTGTGCTTTTTGTTCAGTGAGATACTACACAGTGAATTTTTTCTGCACATTTGGTTTTTGATGCCTTACGCTGTATATTTTTGTCAAAGATATATAAGGGTCACTTTGTTGAATTTATGGACAAACCTGATTTATGAATGTTCTGGAACAGAACTCATTCATAAATCAGGGACTTGCTCTACTAGAGGCTTGTGAATGAAATTTAAAAGAGATGTTTTACATATTTATTTCTTTGAGAAATGAAAATATTATTAGTATAAGCACTATCTAATTTCCTTTCTTCTCTCCTGCCTTCCTTTTTCTTCTCTTTCTCAATGACAGTACTTTATAAAAACTTAATTTTTCCCTGATGGATTAAAAAAAAAACTGGTTCTGCAATTAGCTGTTAGAATATGTATGATAAAAAGGTGTTGATTTGGCACAAGTTCTCGACAGAATAATGAGGAGATGGGAAATTTCAGTATCACCCTAATATCTCTTTACCGACTTCATATCTCCTACCGCTTTCTGAGAGCTGTCTTTTGGAACTGGCTCTGTACAAGACATTTTATCCCTTCTTAAAAACAAAAGCAATTTGAGGACTTTTGTGTATTTAAAGGAGAAACTAAAATTTTCCATAACTAACTTTATATTAGTGTGTCTTCTAGAAAAAAAAATGTGGGCTAATAAGAAAATATGGTTCAAATAAGGGTCAGTCATTTAAATCCCAAAATATGAGCTGAATGAGTTTCATGAAGGGGTTAAGGTCAATGTTTTCATATAACAATCTTTAAGAAGGTGCATATTCCATCACCAGAGATTTCTGGGGGACTGAAGACAGTGAAATAGTGTTGGAAAAATTAATTTACCTCCCAGAACTGAATTTGAATCCTCCCATTCACAAAAAATCAATTTATTCATCAAATAAAAATTTGATATAGTAGTACTTGTAATCTCTACAACAATGTAAAACAAAAAAGTTGTTGGCATGTTTTCTTACTTGTGCACCCTCTAGTGCACATAAACAGATTAAAATGTAATCACTGTCTTCAGCACTAACTGGTGATACTTTGTGAAAGAAGAATCAAGACATATTATGGACAGGTGCAAATTCCCTACGATGAATGTGATCACAATGTATATCTAAAATGCACCTAGAAAATTTTAAGAAATGAGAAAATAAATAAAAATAAAACCAGGAACAAAGCAAAAATGTCTGCTGTCCTTGCTCCTGTCCAATAAATTTCTCAAAACATTAGCTACAGAAATTAGAAAAAAAATGGATTAAGGCTATGAAAAGAAGTTAAATGATCATTATTTGTGGGCTACATGATTCTCCTCTTCATGGATAAACATAACCAACATATTCCAAATGGCCATACTTTGAAAACTGTTACACAGATTTAATGCAATCCAAAATCAAAACTCTAATAGAATTCTGTATAAAGCAAAAGAAAACAATCCTAAAATTTATAAGGAACTAGAAGAGGCCTAGAATAGCAACAGCAATTCTGGCAACAAGATCAAGATAGGCAACATCAGAACCATATACTTCAAGTTATGCTACAAAGCTACAGTGATAAAAACAGTATGGTACTGTCCAAAGAGTGGACTTGTGGATCAGTGGAACAGAATAGAAGATACAGAAACAACTCAAGGACTCAGGTGCTGTGGCCCTGATCAGTTAATACCAGCAGTTTCAGGTCTGTGGTAAGCTAGAGCATCCCAGCAAGGAAGATGTAGAGAAACACAGTTTCTTACCTGAAGCGGCCAGGAAGAAACAGTAAGACAAAGAGTAAGGGCCCAGAGATGCCACACCCCTGAAGGACACATCCCCACAACCTGATTTCTTCCCACCAGGCCAGGTTTTCCAAAGCTGTCACCATTTGCTAGTAGCACCACTGACTGAGGCCAAAGCCTTAAGCACATGAGCCTTTGGGAGCCATGCAAGACTCAAACTATAGTAATAGTAATAAACAAAAGAGATGATTAAAATATATGCAAGATGGTAACTTTATTAATGGCCTTCTCTAATGTCTGATAATAAAAGGTAATGAATTGAATTATGAAATATTTCACAGTCCAAAGGTGAACTCTAAGAAATATAATATTGACTAAAACTGGACAATGGGGGGAGGATAGAAAGGTGAGATAGCTCAGACCCCGGGATAAAATCCAAGGAAGCAAAAAGTTAAGAAATTTGGAGCAAAGGCTTTATTCCAGGCTTGGCGACACAGCTCCCTCAGGATCAACCCAGAAACTGCGTGCCTAACAGACTAAGGGAGGGATATTTAAAGCTAAAAAACCACAAAGCTATAAAGCTGTTGACTTAGTTCTAATAACATCTGGAGCTCTTGGTGCATTCCATCACTCCCACCCTGTGGTTAAAACATTATCTCGGAACAGCACACCTGCAATAACATGCGGAAAGAGGGTAGGGAAGTTACAAGAAGCTGAAACTTGAGCTTTTAGAAGAATTAGAAACTTAACCCTATCAAGACAGTGCATACAGAGCAAGACGGAGGTACACTGGTTAGAGTTAGGCCATAACAAAAGGTACTAATTTTATCCCCTATGGAACAATGCTAGCTTCCTATTGCTACTATAACAAATTCCACTAAACTAGCTTTAGTAGGTCAAAACAACATAAAATTTACCTTCTTTCAGTTCTGGGGGACAGACATCTAAAATCAGTTCCCCTGGACTCGGGTTAATGTGTCAGCAGGCCTGCTTCCCTTGGGAGTTCTGTAGGGACAGTTAGACAAGAGTAAGCAGCAAAGGGCACCACCTGGGTGGCTGGTATAATGGTGACAACCACGTGCTTACTCATGACATGCTGTACTGGAAGACACTGCCCTTCATGCAACTGCCGCATGCTTTTTTTATGTAACCATAGCTCCTGTGAACCTTGGATCACTCCCAGAATCCAAGGCTAAGATCCCAAGTGTACCAGCTAGTGAAACAATTATTTTTAGAAAATCAGCTTATCTCTGTACTATGGTCAAGGCAAGGACCCCGGGGGAAGAAGCTCATCTCGAGCGGCTCCCTTTCACACAGTTTGCTGTTTGACTGTCCCCTGCCTAGGCAACAGTATAAGTAAAGCTTCTGTCTCCCACTACTTTTGTTTGCTGAGCTCCTCATTCTGTGCTAGAAGGATTTTCAGTTTTGCGTTAGCCTCATTTCAGCCCGTGCATCTTCATCAGAGGAAGCAGAGGAGGAGCAGAGGATCTCTTCACGGAACACCCACCTAATGAAATAGTTCTAAGGGGGGAATTTATTTCCTTGCCATTTTCAGCTTTTAGGAGCCACTTGCATTCCTTGGTCTATGGCTCTCCCCTGCACTCTTCAGTGTATCACCGATCTTTGCTTCTGTCACATGGCACCTTTTGCTGTGAGTGCAACTCTTGCTCATGCCCCTCTTAGAACACTTAGTGATTACATTGGACCTAGGTGGATGCCTGGGAAAATCTTGCTATCTCACAATCCTTAACATAATTATGTCTGTACCATAAAGTGGATGCTGACAGGCTCTGGAGATTAGGACATGGGTATGTAGGTGATAGGAACTAAGACGCCTCTTAAGAAGTTGTCATGGTTTATTTCAGTGGCCCCCAGGCCTCATACATTTGCATTTTGCATTTGTGATTGGTTCATTGTCTAGTGCTTGGATTCATGGTGTCAGTGCTACACCCACATAGGGGTGGAGCCCGCATACAATGTAATGACCGGAAGAATGTGTGTGTCTCTCTCTCTTGCCGTTTCCACCTTGCTGTTTGTAGCCACCGTGATCTGCGGCCCATCATGCCACCCTGCCTTGGAGTCAACTGAGTGTGGACTAAAACCTCCAAAAACTATAAGAAATAAACCTTTCCCTTCCCAACTTTGGGCATCAGGTATTTTGTCTCAGTGACCAGTAAAAAGTAGCTAAGACAAAAGCAGATGATTAAGGTGATTTTATATAACTGTAATTATGAGTATATGTGCCTACTTTATCTTTGTGATTACTATCATGGACAGAATTATGTCTGCACAAATTCTTATGCTAAAGTACTGTTCTTCAGTATGACTAGATTTGGAGATCAGGTCTTTAGGGTGATAATTAAAAGTAATTGAGGTCATAAAGTTGAGACCATAATAAAGCTGTCGTTCTTATAAAAAGGAGAAGAGATACCAGAACTCCTGCTCTTTTCACACAGAAGCGAAGGCCAAGTGGGGACACGGCAAGAGAGTGGTTCTCTTAGTCACTTTCTTATCCTGTACCTGCACTTAAAGGAAAAGAGGCTTATTTTGTTTTGCAGTTTCAGAGGTTTCAGTTTGTGTGTGGTTCCAGGGTGTGGTGGAGGAGCCTGGCAGCACAAAGGTGCTCACATTATGCTGATCAGACAGGAAGAGTGAAAGGATGAGGTAGACAGAGAGACATGCCCTTCCAGGTCACACCTTCCATGACCTGCCTCCTTCAACAGGGTCCAACCTCCTCTCAGTGTGGACAAATCCATCGATGACCATGACATCCCTGTGATTCAGTCACCTTGCAAACATGTGAGATTTGGGATAAGTTTCAAATCTGGGACATAGCAGGTCATCTAAGAGGAAAGGAAACCTGCACTGGTTCCAGACTCCAGAATGTGAGAAAATAAGCTTGTGTTATTTATGCCACCAAATCTCTGGAACCTTTTTGGGGGCAATCAGAACACAAGACAAACAGAATCCAAGTCAGAGGAACTGCATACAAAAAAACAAAACCATATTACAGCCAATATTATTAAAAGTTATAAGACAACATGAAAATAAAAATTCTAGTAAACTTAATGTAAAACAAATGAATTCAAGCATATTTGTGAAGTTAACAATTTTCAGTAGCCTTAATTCACCTATAAATGCAAAATGATATTTAAATAGTGTTAAAGGGCAACTCTCAAGTCTGTAAAAGACATTCTTAAATGAAATAATTAAGAAAATTTGCAAATAAAATGATTACATTAGAAAAATGCAAAGAAAATGAGAGTAAGGTTAGGGATGTTCGAACACAGAAGAAAAAATTGTTAAATCAGGGTTCCTTGAATGAGACAACTTACTCGGTATCAAACTTCAGAAATAATTTCCAAATCCCAGTCACGACCATGAGGAATGTAAGACCATCAGTGTGCTCCCCAGTCCCTCTAGCACTGGGCATGCTCTCTGGCCTAACTGATAGTAGCGCGTCTCCTAGTGGCCACCTGATCACCTTGCTTGCATGACAAGGACAATCTAGGTTATGAAACAATTCGTTTTATCTCAGATTTGTGTAATTATGTGATATTTTCCAGGGCTATGTAGATCATCCAAAGATCCTCAAGTTGCTTATCACAAATAACACTAGAGTAAGAGCATTGTGCTAACAACATTCAGTAGACAAAGAGGAAAATGATTATGAGCAGCAGTGCACCAAACATATGGGAGTGATACTCGTGAAACAGTAGTTACAAAAGACAAGGAAAACAGGATAGGAGTCCACTGTGGTAGGGGGATTTAATTCATCTCTTTCTTCTATGGTGCATCAGGCAGATAGTAAATAAGTGAGATTGTAAGAGTCAAAGTAACATAAGTACTAAAACATATCTGTTGGACATTTATAAAGCTTTAAATTGGAAAAAAACATTTTCCTTTTGAAAAGCTCACATTCAGATTTACCTCTTAGAGGCAAGAATGAAAAGAACAATAGAAAATTTTTAAAAGATCAACGTTTGGGGGCTGGGGATTTAGCTCAGCGGCATAAGCACCTGCCTTGCAAGCAGGCAGTTGTGAGTTTGATCCCTGGTACCGATAAAAATGAAAAAAAAAATCAACGTTTTATCCCAGTCCTATAAAAATAGAAGTAAATTTTAAAAATCAGAGAATAGAGGGGTTCTTTTATAAACATTCACTAACTATGATTTGTTTAAACCATTCCTGGATCACAGAGAAAATAAGTCAAAATCATATTTCTGAAACTGAGAATTTTCTGAAAGCCAGATAATGAAAACTTTCTAGTTTTCTCACACCCATACAATATCCCCAAGCACACATTACAGTGAAATGAAAGAAGTGATTCATTAATTGTCTGAGTATATATAATTTTTATTTATGATTTATCTAAAGTTGGTATAACTTTAACTTTTGGTAAGGTATGATCAAAAGATTCCTCAAATTCTTAACAGCTGATTCTAGCACACTACAAGGTCAAATAAATCTACCTCTGTGAATTAAACTTAATAATATGCTCACATTCAGACACAGTGACATTTAAAAACTATTGTGACACTGTGATAGAAGTAAAGAAAAATCATCCAGGTTTCTATTTGTGAAGGACTGGTTACATAAGCTAGTGTAGCTGAGAAAGAGGTCTCCAGAAAGTTAAAAACTTAAAAACTGAATAGAATGGATAGAAAATCTATTATCTTGCTATAGAAAATTCCATTATGTATAGCTATATGAAAATACATGATGCGAAACAATGCATATTTTTGTGTATGGAATGTAGAGGACAATTTAAATGCATTTGCATAAAAAGAAGCTTTTATGTTTGAAAGTGAATACGGGGAATTGACTTCTGTGGAACAGATGTAGAATGGGAAGGGAAGAATGGAATGGAAGACACCAAGATGTCATAATTCTTTTGCAAATAGTTTTAACGTATCATTCCTATAAATTCAGAGCCCACCCAAAAATGTGTACACACCTCAGGAAAAGAAAAATTGTCTGTTTTTTAGCACATGGGGTTACATACCCAGTCCTTTTAGAAGAAATTGAAAACGCGTGTGCAGCAGACTCAGTGACCAAGCTACCCAAGCAGCAGTGCACCATCCCAGCAAATGCCTGGAAGCTAATGGCCACCACTCCGAGCCCTTCTTGCAACCATAGAGGTCAAAAGTAACTTTGTTAATATCATGATGTCTTAATAAATTTATGATTAAAATAGTTACAAAGATTTTTTTCTTTTCCTGAAATGTGTATACATCTTGACTGACTCTGTATACAACCAAAACAATTTACAAAGTTTTAGAATCAACAAGGAGAAAAATTGGCTTATTTTGAACTATGAACATTTTATCAATATTTATGAACTAAATTTGATAAATTATAATGTGTTTATAATTTGAAGTGTGGCTATCACATATGCTATTTAATCCTGTTCATGTAAATTATGTTTCCCCAAATAGATATATTTGTAGTAGTCTCTTTTTCACATATGTGTTTTACTTAAATGTGGAATTGGTGAGTAATGCTTTATACCTATTTAGTTGTATTTATAAATTCCTTTTGTAGGGGAGCTTAATGTACTGTACAATTATTAATGAAATTTTTCAGAATGAATTCCACTGTGACCGCTGGCCTCTGTTTCACACAGTGTTATTATCCAGCTCTTGCACAGCGAAGACAATGAAGCCACAGTTGCTGCTCCAGTGCTGAAGTGAATACTTGACATTCTCCTCACATTTTAATTTTACCCCTGTGACTCATCTCGGCTTTCATTTGTACTAAAATTTTTGTGCAACCTGGGAAGGTGAAAAGATTACTGGATTGGAATTCAAAAGAATCATTGTATTCCTGCTTCCTCCACTTATTAAATGATCATAAGTATGTGGCTTAACTTCTTGGAGGCTGCTTTTCAAATTAGAGAACAAAATAGGCAGAATTTTCTACATAAAGTAGAATGAAGCTATCGTGACCAAACGACATATTATTATAAGAAGTGCTTTGATAAAATCAAAGGCTGTAACAGTATATGATGCTCTTATTACAGTGATCACAAAGAAATAGTTTAATTAGTTGCATAGATTTTCAACAGAAACTTGCCTTTGAAATTAAGCTAGAGCAGCTCTTTCTGCATTATTGAAAGTACTTATATTGGTGCTATTTTTATTTTTAAATCTTTACCCAGAGCATTATTTTACAGCATTTCCACCCTCTGCTGTTCATATGCTCCTGGATTCACATTCTGTTAAATTAGGAGGAAGAAACAGGAATAAACTCACACAGAATTGATGTCGGTGTCACCTAAAAGACGCTTGTAATTTTCTCTTCCTTCCTCCAGGTAAGATTATTCAGATATTTTTGATCCTCTTTTTTCTTTTTTTGATAGTTTGTAGAACTGTGCTTTGATATTTTAAAATATCACCCTTCTGGGTACACTTTAAAGCTTTTAATTTTAATAGCATATACTATAAAGTGCTAGAAAGTGGAGAGCTTTTATCTTATAAGACAAAAAAGTCAATCAGCGATGGTAAACCGTAGGTCGTGAGCAATTGTGGCTCCTTTACTCTCTAGGATTTTTTGTTACTGAGTGCTAAATGACTGATTATGAAGTTTACTATAAGATAAATTAACAGCTTGGGCTGTTCTTTTTCTGAGTCTGACATCTCTGGTGTTCTGAGATGTTTTGTTAGGCTCAGTAAATTTATTGATCTTAATAAATGTATAAGTGCTATGTAAGACTCAGGAATTGTTTTATCTGGACTTAATATCCTTAGAGTTTAATCACTTGGGTCATAATTTTGCTTTTAGATGTATATTTTAGAAAAAGGAACAAGAATGTTGTCATAGTTGGTAATTGGATATGATCATTATCTCAGGGTAATATACCTTACAAACACATTGTAATAGTCTACCAGAAACTTTTTCGGTCCTAACCCCATGTATTCTCTTTCATTTCTTTACCATGAAATTAAACATAGAACCTCCTACTGTTCTTTTTGTGGTGTGTGTGTGTGTGTGTGTGTGTGTGTGTGTGTGTGTGTGTGTTGTACTGGGAATTGGATATGGAATCTTAAAAGTGAGCTACATCCCTAATCGTTTTTAATTTTTTAAATTTTGAGACAGGGTCTTACTATATTCTTAAGTTACTTTGGCTGGGCTTGAACTTGAGATTCTTTTCAGTTTGGAATGAGGGATGGCCATCTGGAATGAAGTGTGTCTTCCTTCTGAGCATTTTCACACCAAGGAGCCGGTGAGTATGGAAAAATGTCGGTGTGAACTTTCCAGGACACACTCTTAGAGAGTCTTTCCTGGGCCACTGAAAGGCAAGGGTAAAAATGGTCACTCAGGGCCGAAGGAGTTCCTTCGCTCCTGAAAACCAGACATCTTTCCAACTAGCAGTCCATCGATATCGCATTAGATTTGTCCATCTGCACTAAATCCCCTGACTTATTGGACTCTGCCTCAATAATTATAGCAATTCCTGAAGATGAAAAGCTCCTGGCCTTCTTGTTCTCCCTCTTTACTCATGTCTTGATACGTAAAGAGGAATCCTAAATCATTTTCATGATCTTTGAGCAACACTTTCACTTGAAGAATATTCTCAATCATTTCTGGAAAATGGATGGAACCCGTGTCCATCATGCTAAGTGAAATAAGTCAGAAGGTTACATGTTGTATGGTTTCTCCTGTAAGACAAATCCAGAATACAAATAAGTTAAATAAAAGGGAGATGATAGGAAACAGGACAGGCTTTATGGAGATGGGAAGATCTCTGGGGATGGACAAGAGAAGAGGGAAGAGGAAAGTAAAAACAGGTATGTGTGTCAAACACCACAAGGAGTGTGTTTATTATGCACTACAACCATGTATTACTAATACAAAATAATGTAAAAAGGCATTTCTCACTCAATTCTCAGAAATTGAGGAACTGAAGTATTTATAGCTCCTGCACTTCAAAACAACGGTTTTAAGTACAGCAGGTTCAGGGACGATGACAGCAGAGTCACACCCTGTGCTACAGATCCTCTTGGGGTGAATTACATCAGAGGTGGAAGATACGTTCAGACACTGTTTGTGAAAAGGGGCCCCAGGAGCCCCATTCTTCCTGCGATACCTCCTCCAAGCAGGAGCACATACACACCAGAGAGGAGAACACAGCTCTCAGAAACAGGCTTAGGAACAATTAACATAAGACATTGAAGTACAGATAGGTAATCCTACTGACCATTACAAAAGAAGCCAAAGGAAAGAAAACCACTTGGAAGTCTAATATGTTTCTGTGAAAGGATGTGGATGAATAAGATGGTTTGAGATATGCATTTCTGAGAACCTTATAACAATCTTCGACTTCCTACAATGTCCATATCTATACAATTCAATCAGTTGAGATGAAGTGGCTTTGACACGTGTGAGCCCCTGGGCTGGCGGGAGTGATCAGTTGACCCTCAGCGTGGCAGCCCTCTCTCCACAAATGAGGGCGCTGTTTGGCCAATATTCAGTTTAGTGATGACCTATGGTAGGCTTTAGCCTCACAGAATGAATTTTGGTGATGAAAGGTGGCAGTGAGCCTTTGCATGAAGCCCTTTGTATGATGTTATTTTGTGACACTCATGAATTGTTTCATGCCTAACAAGATCACTCAGAAGCCAGCTCTTTCCTCAAAAAAAGAATCAAGGCAGAGCATGATAGCATATTTTCAAGTTCAATTAAGGTATCTGGGAGACAGATGAATAAACACAACATTTTACTCTTTTGAAGTGAGCTTAGAGAAAAGCGCAGTTAATCTCCCACTCTACAAATGGAGGTTAATGATACGCAGGATCCTGGATGCACTCCAGCACTGTCCTACTCTCCCCTCACAGCAGAGTGAGGACAGGGAATGCAGACTCCATGTGTACCAGGAAACACTCGTCCTCAGGCAGGACGGATTATGCTCTCACACTTGGTTATTGAAGATAGTTGCAAAAGGTATGAGAAGGTATTTACAAGGTAGAGAAAGAGCTAGGGCAAAGGATGAATTGAACACCCTAGAGAGAGAAGCAAGAGAGAATTCTTATCACCCATTACCTGAAGCAAAGAAGAAGAAGAAGAAGGAATCCTTAGACTCTGAGAGGGGAGCTGTACACAGGGAAAGGCTTGCAGGTGATTTGCCATTTGTGGAATGAGCAGAAGGGGGAGGTGAGATGACCACAGAACCTTGGCCAAAAGGCAGTAGGAGGAAAACAAATTCCATTGTCCATCTTCTCATTGGTCTACACCAGGTGCCACCCAGTGCCTGGAGTTACTTAGAACCTTCCTAGACACAGAGAAGAGTGAGAAGATAGAGTGGAAGCAAACACACAATGTACAGCACCCATGATTCCGGAGCATTGTATGGTTGGTGCCCTGACACCCCAGAGCTGAATCCTGAATGCCCGACTGTTACGTAGACTGAGATCCTGAGAACTTGTCTCATGGAGGAAGGAGAGCCCTCCCATCCCAGAAGTATGTGCTTTCATACCCTATGTCTGACCAGGCTGGGTGGGCCTCAGGACAGTGGCTTTCCCACTGGACATGTGGTACAGCTTCTATCCTAGGAAAACAGTTCTTTCAACAGAGAACTTGAAAGTCATGTGAGTCTTCAGCCTTTCATTATATTTAATCATATGTTCATTTCTAGTCTAATTCCAAATATAAAAGCTACTTCCAATTATGGATAGTTCTGGGGCCCCAGGGACTTCCTCTTTACCAAATACCTTTTGTTCTGTCATGTGGATACTACCGACCGTCCTGTCCTTCCTAAGAGTCTCTCTTCTCGTGTTTCTCTGACTCTGCTTTTCTTTTTCCCTCATTCGGACTTGTTCTGCATCAGTCTCCTCTGCTAGCTCCTCATTAAAGCCTATGCTTCTCCAGACTTTTCTCTGTCAACTTCACTTTCCTGACACACTCACCGGATGCTCTCCTGCACTTCCAGGCTCTTTCATCTCTCCCACATGAGTCTCCCCAACACGTATCCTGTATCATCATACAAACTAACACCTCCCTGGTTCCTCAAGCATAGCCTTCCCAAACCAGACCTCATTATGTTCTACCAAAAGCTGCTGTAATTTCTCTGCATTTTCTATTTCAGTTAATGGCTTACTCATTCACTTGGTCACCCAAGCATATTCCTAAAGTAATTCTAGGCTTTTCTTCTTTGCTAACTTCCAAATTCATTCAAATGTCGTCTTGCCAATTTAATTTCCTAAATGCTTAGTAAACCATCATCTTCTCCGCAGCCACACTGTTTCATGTTGAGTCATCTCTCACGTAGACAACCGGGAGAGCTTTATGTCTATTCTCTGTCCAAATCCACAGTCCTGCCATCCGTCAGCCTTCCTTCCCTGCTCTGCACAAGGTCTGCCCTCCGTCCTCTGGCACTCCCTTTCCGTGTCTCTGAATCCACTCTTGCCCTCACCTTCACGCCATTTGTGCTGGCGACAGTCAGCTCACCATCCCGAGCCAGGCTCTGTGTTTGTCTGTATGCCTCCCTGTCTTTTATTCCTGATAAACTTTTGCTTACATTTCAATTTCTATTTTGGAGTAGACTTTCCCCCACCACCACGGATACTCTTGGCTTCTTTTGGACTGACTTTGCCTATGCTCTGATACACCTTTTGTTAACTCTGCCACCAGAATGTCTTTTTCTCTCTACCCTTTACGTGCCATGCTAGTGGCAATGAGTTTTCTTTTCTTTTCCTTTTTTTTTTTTTTTTTTGTTTATCAGTACCAGGGATCGAACTCACAACCTGCTTGCAAGGCAGGTGCTTATGTTGCTGAGCTAAATCCCCAGTGCAGCAATGAGTTTTCAGATAGGCAGCTTTAGTTCACTGCAGAGTTTCAGTACAAGGAGTTACAGATTTGAGGCCGTGGGCTACGGTAAAGTCCTGATTTTACCCCTCATTTATACAACACACAGCACACGAAGATGACTTCTAGTGATGACAGCCCAGGGAGCTGATTCAGTGTGGGACTCACACTCTTCCTGCTCTCCTATGCTTTCCCTAAAATGAAGACAAATGATTTTTTCAAAAATTCAGACCCAAGCATTCTCCCTTTGTCTGGCAAATAATTGGTTGGTTGATTTATTGATTGTACTGAAGACTGAGCCAGGCCATTTTTACTGAGCTACATTTCCAACCCTTTTTGTTTGCTTATTTGTTGTTTAATTTTATTTTAATCAAGAGACAGGGTCTTGAATCACTAAGCTGCCCAGGCTGGGTTCACACTTATATTTCTTCTGTGTCAGCATCCCTTAGTCCTGGGATCATAGATGTGCACCACAAAGCCCCAAGCCTCTGTTCCTCTTAGGCTGAAGTCCAGAATACCCTGCGAGGCTGCTCCATTGTGTCTCATGCTCATGCCTTGACCACTAGGCTCAGGCCCCTTGATTTCCATAGACTGCCACAAATGTGTCCAGTTCTGCCAACCTATCTCATTCATTTGCGCAGTTCCCTGCCTGGATGCTCCCTTTTTTCCTCTTCACTTGGGTAAGACTCTACCATCCTTAACCATTAGCTTCTCCACCACTTGTTCAGGAAGGGCATTCCTGGTGATCTCTTACAGGACGTGAGTCCTGGGCCTCAAGTCCTCTTCAGGGCCTGTGTACACATGTGCCTGTTGTATAGAACCTGAGTCTGCAGTATCTCACAGAATGACTGTGCAAGGCAGGTCTGGCTTGAACTTTTGTTATGATAACTTATTAAACTGCAAAGTAAAATGCCTACAAGCAGAGGAGCTATTTCTAAAATTTTGTGCAAACTTAATGTATGGGCTTATCAGTTCTCCTGCTTCATTTCCTGTCTAACATTTTCTCTATGCATTAGTCACCAGAGTTGACTGTATTAAATTGTCTTTTAAATTTTTTAAATTTTATGGAACAAATGTAAAACAAAATTTCATGGCAAAATAATAGAGGAGTAACAATAAGTATTGCACTACATGTTATTACCTTTAAAGTAGTTGCTCAGGGCACAAGATATGGGCATACAATTTTATTTAATTGATATTAGCACAAGCCTTCCTTTTTAGTGAGCTAAGACACACTAATAGTATCACTGACTTGCATTTTTCTCCTTTCCCCTTCTGTTCTTCCTCCCATCCTAGTTTCCTTTACCTTTTGAATAATTCCTTCCCATTTCATAGTATTTATTGCACACTTTAGAATTTATTTATTCTTTCTATTTCTCACACCAAAGAACCAATATGATGTTTGCACATGTGACTTTGATTTATTTCACTTATGAGTATGGTCTCAAGTTGCACCTATTTACCTACAAAAGCCTCAAGTTTATCTTTCTTTGTGGGGAAATAGTACTCTATTGTATAAAAACACCGCATTCTTTCTTTATCCATTCCTTGATTGATGGACATTTGGGTTGTTTCCAAGATTTAGCTATTACAAATTGTGCTGCTATAAACATGGGCATACATATATTGCTGTGGTCTGATGTTTTTAATTCTTCTGGGAAGATGTCCAGAAGGGGAATATCTGGGTTGAAGGGGACCTCTAACCCTAGTTTTCTGAAGTTTCCATGCTGATTTCACAGTGGTTATACAAGTCTACACCCCCACTAAATTGCTATCAATTATTCATAAACATTTTTCAGTTTAGAGCCTCTCTGTCACAGCAGAACACACATTCCCCTAGGTAGGCTGCCTCTATCTTGCTTACTGTTGCATGTGCAAGGCCTGCCTCTGCTGCCACTTGGGACACTCAGCAGCTTGGACCCAGTGCAGCCAACTGGCCAGCCAGGCTTGGTGGCACACACCTGTACTCCTGGCACTGGGGAGGCTGAGGCAGGAGGATTGTTGCAGTTTGAGATCAGCCTGGGTTACAAAGTGAGTTCTTGATCAGCCTGATCTGCATAGTAAGATCCATTTTTAGAAAAACTCACAAGAAAGTGTCTTCCTTGTAGTTTTAAGCATTATTTTTCTATTGAGTAGAATGGCAAGTAGATAAAAGTTCTAGTAGGTGAAATGACACATGCTTTAAATCAGTGTGTAATAGTGTATAGCATCTTTGAAGTTTATTTTTCTATTTTATGAGCTTTTACCCAGTATTACGATGCAATGCTGTACTCCTGAGAGCCTGAGAGCACAGAAGCAGCTGTGTTCACAGCATTCAGAGACTCGGAAGGGTTCCCCTGGCACCTGGGCTGCCTGAAACTGTCCCATTGCGTTTCCCATTTTAACTTTGCTTTATCTTAGCCACTAACGCAGTAAAAGTGAGGAAAAATTATGGAGACATGAATGAAACAAGACCATTTTAATCATAATTATTATTGTAATAATAATTATTATTATTTTATCTTTAAGAGACTAACTCGGCTGGTAGAGATTTATCAGTAATCATCAGGCTCAGATCGCCTTATAGTTTGGAAGTCCTGGACTGAGTCCTGCCTCCTGCTTAGTGATGGAAGTAGGTCCTGGAGAAGCCTCTTTATTTACGCTCCCTGTACCTGATCTGCCCTCTGTAGTGCAGCTTCTGAAACAGAAGTTTCAAGAAACAGCAGCTTGAAACACATTGTTTTTAAAATGTTGCATTTGTAGTACACAGACTTTTTTTCTTATTACTCCAAGTCGCATTACACTTAGTACCATAACTAGAGATGATTAAAAACATATGAGAGAATAGTGTAGATTATCGGCAAAGATTATGGCATTTTATATAAGGGGCTTGAGCAACTGTGGATTTTGGTATTTGTGGGGATTTTGGACCCATTTCCTAGAGGGTTCTGAGATACAGCTGTATTTGTGAGAAAAGGCAATCAAGGGTTTGAATTGTATTAATTTAGAGACTCCTTTATAATGTTTTACATCTTTAAAACTTTACCTAAATCTTTTAAAAATAATGCACTTTTATTTTTTCCTTTTTGCCCTTGCTAAATACTTTCTCTTAAATGTGTTTTGTGATGGCGTAGAGAGGAGGGTCTCCTTACATGAAATGTTCTTTTGTTTTAACAGACACATGACAAGGAGTCAGGAGCACTTGTGTTTGAACGCAGATCTCACATTACCAGCTGGGAGAGCAACTTTCATACTAAGGAAAGACCAATGAACAGCCAATTTGGAAATGCAAGCTACATAATACAGGAAGGAAACTACATAATACAGATAAGCTACATAATACACTTTTAAACGTGTGTCACAGGGTCAGGTGTGATGGCACATACCTATAATTCCAGCATTTGGAAGCCTGAAGCAGGAGGATTACTTCAGTTGAGTCCAGCCTGGGATACTTAGAAAGTTCAAGGCTGGAATTATCTAGCACGTTTTTGTCTGAAAAAAACAAAGTGCAACACAAAGGCTGATGGGTTTTTAATGCACGAAATCATAGATAAATATATAAGTAGTATTTAGAAGTAGATAAAAGGGTAAAAGAATAATTGTGAGCTTCACAGTGTTTTAACTTTCTTTACAACTCCAATGCTGCTCAGCTTTAGTTAATTTCAAGCAAAATATCTTTGCTACTTTGTTTGGATTGCTGAGACAGAAAGTAAGCCCACAGACACATGGGGAATATTCTTTCTGCCATCCTGTTTATGCAGAAAGCACAGTTTGATTCATGGAAGCCCCAGCAGGACTGAAGATTGCCAAAGGAGATGTCACCTTTCAATGAGAGCTCCAGATCAGATTTAAAAGTCACAAGATGTGGTATGATAATCATTCTTAAAAGACATGGTGGAAAAGATGGTGGCTGAAAGGATTTTTTTATTTGCTTTTCGTATTGCACTTGTATGATATGAAAAGACTGGTGAACAATCTCTTTTGGGGCCAGGGTGTCTGGAAAGACATAGGCACACTTTCTGCCACTGCTGGTGAGTGGAAGGGCTGACTCAATCATTAGGATATACCTAGATGTGGGCATTAAGTGAGAGCTATGAGAAGCAGTGGGGACCTGAGTTTGTCAGTCTGAGGCAAAGAATTCACAAGGAAAATTCCAGTGGTTAACCCGTGGTATCCCCAATCTTGGCTCCAGTAAGCAATGGGAATGGGGGACCTCACTACTGTGCTTCAGGAACTTTGCTTCAGGGGCAGAGCTCTGGATCCCTGCTTTGGTTCCCTGGCCTTTCTGGTCCCTTTGCCTAAGAGGCACTTTCACCCAGCAGAATCTAACTAGATTCTGTAGATACCTTGGACTGACAGTTATGCAAAGAAACATCGGCGGCTGAGTTCCCTGCAGATGTTCAGATTCGGCGATATATGGTAGGGGAGGTATTGTGGTGAAGGACACATAAGCAGAATGCGATGGCTGCCAGCATTAATATAAAACATCGTCGCCCTTCTAGGTCAGCACTGAGGGTTGGGCTAGGAGAGTGACCGTTTTGTAACATCCTGCCATACAGGTAATATCTATAGGGTTTTGTTTGCATCCAGGCTGCCATTCTAGTTGCAGCAAGCTGAAAATAACAAAATGTACAGGAGTATTTTATCAGTACACTTTAAAGCATTAGTAGTATATCTTTGGGTGGTGTTCTGGCTGAACCAGTCATCTGTGTTGCTTGGATTTAAATAAATGAATAAATAAGTAAAATCTCTCAAAATTACGACGGCTTTTCTCTTTCTTCGAATAGACACCTCTTGTGACCTATGCATGCGTTCAGTAAGTTCTTCACACACTGTGAATAATCCAGGTGCGACCTGTCACTAAGCAGGCGTGACCCTTCTTATTACTAAATGTAACACGGGCCGGAGTTCAGTCCCTGACCTCTGGGAAGGCTGAGGGGCATAGAAATAAGGCAATGTGGAGCCGGGGTAGACAGTGCATCTCGGGTGAGCGGGCGGGGCGGATGGGGACGACGCTGGGCCTGGGCCGGGGCTCTGGATGGGCGGAGCGGCGGTGGGCGGGCCTCTGGCGGGCGCGCTAGCCCAGCTCTCTCCGGCGGTCCCCGCGCCCTGCTGCATCCTTGGTGCGTCCTGCCCAGCTGAGCCGCCGCCAGCAGTGGGAGCCACGCACTGAGAGCAGCTGACAAGCCCACAGCTTCGGGCAGAGAAGGAGCCCGGGGCCGCACTGCCTGGGTCCGGTCCCGGAGCCAGAGAGGCGAGGTGGCAGATGCGTGGGGACTGAGGGAGACCTGGAGACCGCAGGTCCGCAGCGGCCCCTTCGCCTGCCTCCAGGAAGCAGAGGTGGGCTGTGGGCTTTGGAGGAGAGGTCCCAGCTAGGGGTCCGGGGGGTGGGGGTGGGGGGTCGCAAGTTACCTGTCCTGGGAGTCAGTCTGGGGATAATTCTCCAGCCCACGGCGCCCATGAATAGAAGAGGGGGCATCTCAGGGCGAGGGAGGCACGAGGTACCCGCACCCTGGCCGGCCCCCAAACCCGCAGGATGATGGCAGGAGGGGTCGGTCCCCCCCATCCTCCCCAGGGTCGCGGTGTCCAGCGGGCCTCCGAGCCGCCAGCCTCCTCCGCGCGCGGGCAGGAGCGCAGGCAAAGTTTGCTGCTCAGCCCAGCTCCGGTCCTCTCGCTCCCCAGCCCGCAGGTGCCGCCGCTCCTCGCCCCCAGCCGCAGCCGCCCTGCCATGGACGCCCCGGTGCAGATCTTCCGCGGGGAGCCGGGGCCCACCTGCGCCCCGAATGCCTGCCTGCTCCCCAACGGCAGCGCTTGGCTCCCGGGCTGGGCCGAGCCGGACGGCAACGGCAGCGCGGGCCCGCAGGACGAGCAGCTGGAGCCCGCGCACATCTCCCCGGCCATCCCGGTCATCATCACGGCCGTCTACTCCGTGGTGTTCGTGGTGGGCTTGGTGGGCAACTCGCTGGTCATGTTCGTGATCATCAGGTGAGCGCGGGCCAGGCGCGGCCGGGGCAGGGAGAGGGCCTGCAGGGTGGGGGCGCTCGGTCCTGCAGGGGTCCAGCCACTCTGGGGTCTCCTTGAAGGAGGGGGGGGGGGATTTCCTGGGACAGTTTCTAGGAGGTGGGGGCTGGGGGCTGCGGGGTTCACACTGGGTGAATCTGAGCGGTCAGGGCATTTCACTGCGACCCGCCTCACTCTACCCAAGACCCAAACCCCTGCGAAAACTCAGTGTGGCAAAGTACCAGGTCGTTCCACAAGGTCAGTGCCTCCAGGCAAAGGAGCTAGTCCCTGTGCGTGGCAGTTTTAATTTTTCCTCCCCTAGTTTTCTGCTCCTGTTTGAAGCACTTTGATTTTCCTTTTGTAAGCATTTCTTAAGATAAGTCCACTGAAGGCACTGAGGATAATCCGTGTTTCCCCTGTGACTTCTCTGACTATTGTAGGGCTTATGAAACAAAAATCATATGCTATTTAAGGATGTTCTATCCAGATAAGACTGATCGGCTGTGTTAGTTCTTTAGAGTGTCAGTGACTTTTACAAATTAACCATCCAATTGCTCTCTAAATGTGAACTGTAGAAATTTTTAAAAATTATTTTGCTACTTTTTCCATCATGAAAAAATTAAAAGTTTTATTGTTCTTTTGTGAAATTTTCTTCAAGTCGACTGTCAATAATAAAGTTCCAAATACCTACCTATATGCTAACTTTTGGGTAAATGATGTGATTCTTAATTTTAAAAAGAGAGTTAAAAAAAAAGAAATCAAACTTCAAATCTATGTGCCCTTTGAAATATGTGTTTGAAATAAGTGTTTCACTTTCTGGGAGACTTAATGCTTTGGAAATATACTTTTGAATATGAAGCTTATGTTCCTTAAGGAATTCCCTAAAGTCAAGAGAACTGACTTCTTCTGTCTTATCTTGACATTTGTTTTCAAATAAGTCTTTTATTATTATGAGCTTTAAAATTAATACCTACAATAGCACGAGTCTTTCCCTTGAGGAATCACCATCATAAAACGCTAAAATGCTTCCTTTTATGGGCATTGGAATATCAGGTCTTTTATCCTCATCTATTCTCTGAAATTAAAAACCATTATCATTTAAGGTTTCAAATACATAGTATAAATCTCATTTTACCCTTAAATAGTGTAAAATCTCAGTACTCTTGGCTTCCATAATTGCCTGTTACACTTTATAGGAATTCTATCAGCTTAAACAAAACTATAGAAGATAATATGTAAAAAGGCAATTTTTCCAAGTTATTAGTAATCACAAAGCTGGACTTCATTGGAGACAATGTTAGACAAAAAGAAAAGGCAAATATATTCTAAAGTGTAATTAAATGTTAAAGAGATCTTGACATAGAGACTATTTTGTAATATAACATTGTTACACAAAAAGAAGGCATAATTGTTTCACTTGTATTTCTAAATGTTCAAGTAAAACAGATAGCCCTACTGTTATGCAAATGCACACATGCAATCTTGAGTTTGCAAAGAGCTTCCAAGTTGCTCTCTGTGACTTTTTAAATGAGCCTGCAGACAGGGCTTTTTAGAAAATGAAGAATTCTAGAATAATATACATTTTAGAAAGGAAAAAGATTTCTTATAGATTAACTAGGTTTTCTAATGGACATATTTCCCAAAGATATCCTGCACTACAATTTGTTAAATGGAAATAAATCCCCAGCTAAAAATACTTCAAAAGTTAGATAGTTCATATAGCAACATGGTCGATCCCTCTATTCCCTTTCAATTACTTTGAGATGAAGCTTGTCCATAAGTTTAAAATGAAGAGTTATTGTACCACCCTGAAAAGCCAAACTGATAGATCATTTAAATCTACAGCTAAGAGAATAGAAGAGTCTTTGGAATTTGTTCATATTGGTAAATAGTTGAACTGGAAAATAAAACCTTTGAAGAAAAATTGATGGACTTATGTTTATTTAGCTCAAAAGAGGAACAGACTGAAGATTGAAGACAGAGTGATGACAGGATTGTGGTGCTCTGGCCAGCACAGAGTAAAATTGAGTGTAGAATCTGCTGGTCAGAACAGAGTAGAATTGAGTGTGGAATCTGCATGCAGATTTTCTAACAGAACTTGAGGGCCAGGCAAATGCGTTTGGACAGACAGAGGATCTTCAGGATTTTGGAGAAGGACACTGTTTTAAAACATTATATATGGAAATGGATTCTAGTGTAGTTCAATCTTTTAGAATATTATTCTAGAGATAGAAAATTGAGTGCTCAGATGGTAGACAGTGAAGGTCTAGGATGACCAGTTCCCATGTGAGGAGAAAGTTAGAGTATTGCCTTACAAATAGATTTTCCCTCCTTGGGCATGTGGAATGTCGCCCAGTATCTCCTGAAGATATTTAAAGTTTCAGGTGTTCCTGCCATTTAGTGTACTAACTGTCACAATCGTCTGCTATTGGGACACTTTTATCTTTTCACCGAAAAGATCTTAAAATTTATGTGGTCCATGCTTCCCTATAGTGGGTTTGTGACCCTTGGGGATCCATACAGACGTGCTGTTTAGAATCCTAACCTCATGATCTCTTGGCTCCCTCCTTTTCAAGTCATCTTCTTAAACACCATGACATCTATCATACCTGTGTCCTTCTCCTTGCTGGATATCCCTACCTCTGACATTTATTTGGATATCTATTTTTCTTCTCTTGCTATGATTTTCCACACTCACAGCTGTCTTTTTGATGAATAAGAATGATTAAAATTTAATGAGCTCTTATTTTGTGCTAAGCAGGAACAGCTATCTACTTCACGTAAATTCTTTTATTTAAGCTTAACATACATAGGTGCATTATTGCCATACCCTTTCAACAGATGAGGAAACTAATGCAGAGAAAAGTTAAATAAAGGTCAAGTTCTCTTGTAACTGGCTCGGGAGACCACAGTGATCTCTACAGCCAAACCTAGGGCTTGTGTTTTTATCCATGCTGCTACTCATTGTCCACTAGACTGCTTCTTCCAATATATGGGTACTTTCTTCCCTGGGTAGCTCTCCATTTTCTCTAAGTGCTTCTTTTACTCTGTCCCAGCCTTGATTCCATGAGTTCTAACTCCAGCCTCAACCTTGAAAATACACCCAAAAATCTGTCCTGCTGTTTTGTCCCTCTGCTGCTGCCTTCCATCAAAGCCACAGTCACCAAGCCAGTAATCTGTATTCCTTGCACTTATAACCTACTAATTGTTGTTAGGTAAAATTAATTTTATTTTTGTCACAGTAAAGCTACTACCGTTAAGTATATCTGACCCTAATTCTGTCTAGGAATTTTTGTATTCCTCTCTTATTTTCTTGCAGGACCCCTTTTCTTCTCCCATTTCTCATAAAAACTGAATTCAGATCTGCACTGGTTCTCAAGCCCATATTCCTCTATCAGCTGGTAGATAATTTTTCCAGGAAGTAAACTGAGACACGAAGTCCAGCTACTGAGAAGGTCCCTTGTCCTATGAATGCTGGCAGTGCCTTCCTCTCAATCTCTCCGTCTTTGAGGAAGAGTCTCTTGTGTCCCTGTTTTTGTGTCTTGAATCTCATCATTTCTTGAGCTCTCCTACATCAGTTATCTTCTTTCTGTCCCCTCTGAAATATTTCCCTCTCTACTGCCTCTTGTACCTTGTACCACAAAAATCAGACTTCTGTATGTTATTTTAATCAACAATCCAATGTCACTGAACCTTCATTTTTCTTAGTTCCCTTAGCTAGTATCCATTCATCTCAAGTAGATAAACTTCATGACGGAATAGTCACTCTCCTTCGTTTTCCCGTCTCCTCCATTCCTCTGGCCCTTATACTTGGACATTCTTCTTGAAGTTTCTTGACCAAGCCATGGCGCTCATGTTTCAGAGGCTCATTTGAAGCTAGCTGTCACCTGAGTTTTGTAGGTGTGCTGTGCTTTGATCAGTCTTAGATGCCTCCCTTTGTCTGATACACTTTTCTCCTCTATGCTTTTCTGTAGGCTCCTTCATGGATTTGTCACCCTCTACTGTCTGTAAATGATTATCTCCTCCAGGGTCTTCTCAGCTCCCTTCTGTTTTCACTTGGCCTAACTGTTCAGTTAATCAAGGTTCTATCGGAGAAGCAGAACTAGTGCAGGATGTAATGGTAAGAGATTTCTGGCAAGAAATTGGCTTCCATGATTTAGGGGATAACTGGATAAGCCTGAAATCCATAGTTCAGTGAGTCAAGAAGGGCAAAGTGCCCTTCCTGGGTTGAATTTGTTCTTCCTCAATGAACCTCAACTCAGGTCTTAGCACCACTACACTGATGCAAGCAGGTCACCTAGAAGAGGTAGAGTGATCTCTGCCGAAAATCAGCTGATTATGACCATTTAATCACATCTAAAAAACACCTGTACACAGCAGGTGTGCAGACCTGTAGTCTGGCCAAGTTAACACAGCAAAGTGACTAGCACATTCCCTTTCAGTGGCTTCATTCATTCTTGTGGTCCTAACTGTCAAGAAAGGTCAGACAAATTCTAAATATATGTTATGGTTTAGACTTAAAATGTCTCCCCAAAGTCTCATGTGTGATAAGTGAAGCTTTTGAAAAGTGATTAGATCAAGAGAGTGCTAGACTCATCAGAGGATTAATTCTTGAGTTCATAGCTGACTGTGCTTTTTGGAAGGTGAGGTCTGTTGGAGGAGGTGTGGGCGTGACCTTGAAGGGTAAATTCTTGTGCCCAGTCCCTTGTCTCTCTCTCTCTACTTCCTTGTGGCCATGGGGGTCAATGACCTTTTAACCTCTTTCAATGCCCTGTCTCCAAATATAGGCATATTCTTAAGTGTTGAGGATGGAGATTGCAGTGAAGAATTTGGGGGGACACAGCTCAACCACAGTACTACTCACCCTCTCTCTTTTCTCTGTAAGAGGAAACTGTTCTATAGCTTCAAATTCCATAATAAGTATATTTATGTTCTCCTTTGTTTATCTTAGAAAAAAGTTATATTGCTTCATAAATTAATTATAA